ATGCACAGTTAGTGCTCACAGGACTGAGGGTTATGTGTGAACGAGACAGATCTCAAGTGGATCTCGTGGTGCATCACAGTTGCATTAGAAACCATGTGACATTACTATTCTTTGTAATTAACAATTTCAGGTTTCAAAAGATAAGGAAAAACAAGATTCAATAAATGAAATAAAACTACACTCATCTCACCTCTGTAGGTTCACACACTAAGCCCATCATCTCCTTTTCTCTCTGCCACCTCCACAGCTCCCCAATTCTTAGAAAGTACCTTGCTCACGCAGTCACTGAACGCGGAATGTTAGCGTGGCTCTCACGGGGCTCCATTCTAGTTTAGAGCAGATTCAAACTCCACCCACAAGGTGCCCCATGTTCTTGGGTGGACGTGCACCCTCGTACTTACTGAGGCCACAGTGCTGGCTTGAATTCTATCAATTTCACTGACAAGATAATGCCAGGACACCACACTCCTCATGTTAACGTGCGACTCGTGCCAAAGCGTCAAGACGTTCTGATACTGCTGTTCAAGTCTGAAACAGATGAAAGAAAACACAGATTAAGCCTTTCTACTCCTTTGAAAACATGCTACACACAATTTTTTCTTCTTTTTTATTACCATATATGAGTTGCACATGGGTTCCACTGTGGTATTTCCAGACATGCACACATTTTTCTTGTGAGATGTCCAGCGCTTACTAGTTCTGGAGCCCTCCCCTGGGGAGCCGTGACGAAGTATTGACTGTTTCTTTAACCTCCAGAAAGCCCCCAAACCAGCTCCATGTTTTTGTGTAATGTGCACAAACCTGTTTGCAAAGTCAACAGCGTCTTTGTTGGGTGGAGGAACAGAGAAGCACACAGACGGGACCATGGCCTCATTCCCCGTAGGGCTGATGACCTTCCATTTAGCTCGATGAGAGTTGTTCGCCAGAACACACTCGTCCTCTTTGTAAATGGTTATCTGGTTTTCAAGGAGGAAGAGAATAACCAAATGAGCTCACTAGTAACTAATTTTTCTCCACATTCAGTCTTGGGATTTTTGTTTTGCTTTGTTTAATGGGCTGGAAAAAACTTAATCAAGCATAATAATCTCATTTTTAAAAGACAGGAATAATGACAGACTGGCACAGCCGTTACGAGTACCTCAATCTGTCGGTAGTCACAGATGGCTTTGATGGGGATGGAGGTTTTGAGTGGACAGTCCGGGTTCCTTGGCTTCAGCTGAACGACCGCCTTCGCTCGCCCCATCAGGCTGGCTACTGTGCTCTTGTACTGCAGAAGCGCTTCTTTCTCTTCCTAACAAACACAACAGATTTTAAAAGTAAAAGACTTGTACTCTCCACTCCTTCAGGGGTTTGCACAAAGAAATTTCATCAGAAAAGTGTTCCCAGCCACCAGAGTTGAGCCTTCAACCCCTCCTCACCCTCTCTTGGTTGTCTCTTCTTTGTTATTTTTTTTCTTTTTCAGCGTTATCACCACTAACAGCACATATACTTTGCTTTCTGTATTGCTAGCTCCCACTCTAATATGTAAATTCTATGAGGGGAGAGTTTCCCTGATGCACCTCCAGAATCAAAAACAGAGTCCAGACACAGAAAGCTCTTAACACGAACTGACTAAAGAACAAATGACTAAGAGACACAGGCACACACACACACACCACAGACACAACACACAACACACAGAGACACCACACACACACACACACACACACACACACGACCACACACACCACTGTTAAAGCATTTTAAAACATCAAGATTATCACATAAAAAATTATAGTTGTATTTGTTACCAAAAAATACTAAAACTGAAGGTTTAGATGCTTAATTGAGTTATCAAGTGCCAACAAAATATAAGTTCTGCACCCATAAAAACATTCTGAAAGTGTGGTCTAACAGCCGTTGCACACCACTGATGCAGTGCACAGGTTTCCGTTTCAGTACCATTGATTCCTGGATGAGGTCCTCCAGCTTGTGGACGCTGCTGGACCTATCACAGCTGTACTTCCGCTGAATGGCGTCTTTTAGGTTCCGTAGGGAATCGGTAGCTCCTTTGGCGTCATTGAAAAACTGAGGAAAGACAAAACGTGGCAGTTGCAGTAAATGTGGGCAAAGCACAGAGCTGCCCTGAGTGCGCCCTTACAAGCGGGCACAGAATAAAAGCAGAAGACAGCCGCACAGCCCCAGCCTTCCTGAACCAAGCAACAACCCGTGAACTTGGGTGGTTATAACAAATCACGAGCAGATGGACCTCAAGTTTGCCTCTCTACTATTCTGACTGAAGGTCTGTTTTACTTCAGGATTCAAACAGTTTTTAAGTAGAGGTGGAATTCCAAGAATACCTTCAACTTCTGAAGAGTTAAAATGAAGAGTTCATTTGGCTCTTCATTTGGCAACTCTCTAATGAACAGCCTTCCTTAATAAGTGACACTCATAGAATTCAGACATTATGGTATTTTAAGGGGATTTTAAAGGATTTTTTCCTTGTAGTCTTATAGCCCTTAGACACTACAGAGAAACATTTCCATTCATTCCCCTCTGTGTATTGTGTGTATTTTTACAAATGTTGGTAACTTAGATTTCTGCAGGTCATCCCAAGTCACAATGCTGTTTATGGACAGTGTGGTTCCAGTCATTTACCTCGAAATACGCAGTGTTCTCCCTTATGTGCTGCTCCACACACTGGCAGAGCTGTAAGATCCAGCTCCACTGCGTCTGCATTGCTGCTCTGTAGGCCTGAAAGATAAAATAGCCATTGAAACTGGCTGGAGATAAATAAGGTATCTAGAGCCCTACAGGGATGTAGCTCAGTGGCAGAGCTCTTGCCTAGCATACCTGAGGCTCAGGGTTCAAACCCTGGCACTGCAGACATTGACGCCTTTAAACGATAAAATACTCTGCTACCTACACAGATGATCAATTGTTTTAACAGGATGAGACTTTGTCTAAGAGTTCTCACTTTCACACCAGTCTTAAAGTTCACATATAAACTTTAAAGCCAGTTCGGTTGATTTCTCTGCAGAACCCAGGGCCAACGCCTGCAGCCACTCCATCAGCCCATTGCTACAATGGGTTTTTTTGGACACAGGGTCTCACGGAACTATTTATTTCAAATTCTTGAAAAATTTCAATAAATACAAGGAAAATGTTAACTGTGGCTATTTTTCCATGGAAAAATTATCATTTAAAATATGTGCACACACTTTCCTATTTAGCAACCAACCTTTCCTTTGTCACCTGCCCTGACACGTGCTTTGAGCTCAAATACACCTTCCTTCAGGACATCTTCACCCATCCTATCTCTGAGATTTTATATTACTGAATCATGAAATACACCTTCTAAGATAGAAACGTATGGACCTGCAGTTTCCCTCTTGATTTGGCTGAGGAAAGGTCTGGGGCAGGTAGAAAGGAGAAATTGTACACCTTCCTATCAGTGTAATTCTGGAGTTATAACAATTATAATACCTGGAATTTTTATTTAAAACATTTGATTACTTGAACTTTTATCAATACAAGCGTATCTTTCATAATGGCAAAACACTGCAGAAAGAATATCTACTTAGGAAACATCAGATACTCTTATCTTATACATATACAAGGTCCAATTCACTGACGTCCAGGAGAGGGCGCTCTGGGTGCTTTAATGACCTTGAAGCCCATCACTGCTCCTCCATTTGGGACAACCATTCCTGCCCAGCTATGCTCAGGCAGGTTTCTAAATGGGCTGTATGCTGCAGCCCTGGGAACTGGGCAACATATAAGCATATTATCTGCTCCCTTAAATTGAGCTACTTTCTGTTTGTTTCTTGATACTAGGATCGCACCCAGGGCCTTGTGTACGCCCCTCAAATCAAACTACTTTGGATAAATTGGTTATAAAACATATATCACCGTGCACTGTTAGATTACTAGCTTTTTCCATAAAGTTGAGAACATACTTATTGCTATTAATTATGGTTTTCTAGTATTTGTACTTACAGAAAACATAGTTTACAAGTTATTAGACATTTTTTATTCCTTTTGAATTGTTGAATATAACACCAAATATTTTTATATTTATTGAGCTATGTTGAAATACTTATTATTGGCTTTTAAAAGTATACCAGAACACAGGTAAGACTTCAAGAGGTGTAAGGGAGTATGTGAACTGTGTTATATTCCAATAAATTCCATGAAATGTCAAAAAAAAGGAAACGGTGTCAATAGTTAACTAATTATTACTCACATAACCAGAAAGGACCCTGGGTGGACCATGGGATCATAAAGATGAGTGAGGCTTCATTTTACTACTTAGGACACTTTCGGTTGATGATTTCCACATAAAAGTAGTCAGATTCACACTCACATTTTCCATTTCTGTCAAAATGCTTAACCTACAATCACATTTTCTAACAGCTTTCCCCTTTCTGCCCTAAGGAATACTCTATTCTTAGCTTGTTATCATAGAAAAGTAAACCCAGACCTCCCATTATTCTCCTTTCTTTCCCTAGTGGTCCCTAGTCTTCTATGTCAACACTGATAAGGTGTTCATGTGGGTGCAAATGCACATTTTATATGAAAGGAGGTCAAATTTAACATCCCCAAAACTTCCTAATGACACCTAGAATTTTACTAATATTTCGTGAGTGATGACTTCAGTGAATAAAGACTGCCATATTCCTTCCCTCAACCGTGAGTGTGAAGGATGTCACACAGAGCGTTCTTTCCTCTGCAACATATCACACCTGCCTGTCCACGTGTGCTGCTCCCTGGCTGCCTGTCATGTAACATTTTACACATGCCACCAACTCCATCAAGTGCAGATGAGGCCTACAACTTGGAAACTCCACCACTGTTACAACTACGCAGCAACTCCATAAATTCTCTTCTGTATTTGAAATGTTCACGCCACTCTAGGAGGATGCTGTCCAGTGTACTTAACGAGACCAGATCCTAAGTGAAAGTTTCAAATTAAATCATAATAGAAGATACTTCTCGAGAAGATACTACATACCAAGCACTGTTCTAAGGTTGTACGATAAGTGATTTCTTCTCTGTCTCCCACAATTCTTATTGAAGCCACTTCCTTCATTTTTGGTATGGTAATGAAGCTTAGCAAGATTGTGTCACTTGTTTAATGTCACAGAGTCAGGAAGAAGTAAAATGCACACCTTAAAGAAATAGTCCTGCATATTTACAGTAATCTACGCCCTTGGCCACAGAGCTCGACCACGCTACCTTTATTCAAAGTGACAGGTGACATTCTTAGAGAACAAGAGAACAGAAGGGAAGAATCAGCATGATTTGTCAGAAATGTTATTTTTGAGGCAGGCTATAATAAAAGTTTGGTATTTTGTATTTTTCATCTTAACAGCAATGGGGAAATAATCACACATCAGTATTCAACCCAGACCTTTACACTTCCTGACTCACCTCAATTGTCAACCGAGCCGGGTGGTTTTCTAGAAGTAGCTGCTCTGCTATCTCCTGAACCGATTTAATATTTTCCTCCTTTTGATCAAGTTCTCTCATTAATTCCTAATTTAAGAAACAAGTGTGTTAGAAAAAGATGTCAACCTCAAATACAACTTTTGCACTCAAGTAAGTGCAATGGCTGTACTTACTGCATGGTAATCTTTTTTCCGAGCTATGCTGGTATTTTTCTCACTCCAGTCATAAGCAACTTCCTCCTCTTCTTTTTCATTCAACCAGATAAGCTCATTAGTTGCACGAGTTACAAAATTATGGAGTGTGTCAAGGTGCCGTTCCTGATTCCTGGATGTATTCTTTGAAAGGAAAGTCAGTGTAAGAATTTTATCTTTGCCAGACAGAGATAAGGGACACAAAGTTTGTTTGTTTTTTAATAAAAACTTACCAAAAGTTTTGCATACTGATTCTCCAGCCTGTGCAACTTTTCTGTATAAGTTAGCTTAAGAGGAGCTGTCATTTGAATCTACAAATGAGATAAAAAGACACAGGAGTCAGGAATCTTAAAGAATTCTGACTAACACGTGATGTATCTATTACTGATATACACAGTCTTTACATAAAGAGCACTGCAACAGGAAACTACAGGTACATATACAGTTTTTAAATTCACACACCTCACTGCTTTTAGCTTCTTTAAGGCTAGACTCAAATTCTTCAATAGCTCGGTGAACATTTTTGTGATTTTCTAAATGGCTTTCAACACTTGGCAAATCTGAGCCCCATTCAGTGCGGTCCAGCTGCACCTGTCATGCAAAATACTAGATTAAAAAATGGAGTTCACAGCAGTGAAAAGCAAAATACTCAGGTAAAGTAAGCAGCATTGTACCTGCATCTCATCGACCCAATTCAAAAGATCCTGGACAAATTTCATGTTGACCTCCTCTTCTGTTAAATTCTGATCCAGCAAAGACGATTTAAGAAGGGGTTTTCTGATCTGCATCAATTTCAGAGTCTGCAATGAATTTGGCTCCACTCCTGAACTGAAATTCGGAATTAATGTCGACGGGAAACCAGGTGTGTAAGCTGGAGTGACAGACGGAGTGAGGCGGGAAGTCATCCCCGATGACAGCCCAGAAGTTACACTAGAGGAGGTCAGGGAAGGCGTTAAACTCTGGGTCAGCCCTGAGTTCAGACAAGGATTTAAGGTCTGTGCAAATCCTGAGTTTAAACTCTGAGTGATTCCTGATATCATGAGCTTGGTCTGTTCTGTGGTCAGCATGCGTCCTTTGCTATACACCGAGGAACATTCATTCCGTAAGGCCACGATTTCATCCCGCAGCTTTGCCACCCTGAAAGAACATCAGAGGGATGACATGGGCTAAAAAGGCACTGTCCCAAAGAGCGAATCCTGAGGTAAGCCATGACTTCAGGGAACAACTGTGTACTGACATTGTACCAGTGGAAGATTTTAAGGATGGAGATAGAAGAAGTATTAAGGGGCACAGAAGAACTCTACTTTCAGTTCAGTTTTAATTTGAAACTCAGCTGTGTTGAAGAGAACTCTGATTTTAAAAAGTCATTATAAACTGGTGTCAGGTGGCTCACGCCTATAAGCCTAGCTTCTTGGGAGGCTGAGATCAAGATACAGCAGTTAGGGGCCAGCCTGGGCAAACAGTTCATGAAATCCCATCTCCAAAACAACCAGAGCAAAAGGGACTGGAGGTGTGGCTCAGCCGTAGAGCACCCACTTTGTAAGCGCTAAGTCCTGAGTTCAGTTCAGGAATCATGAGCATATCGTTAAATTTTTCCATCATGAGTATTTTCTCCCTAAGCACTGTGCTAGGAGAACTTTTCATAAGATTAATATCTATAACCATCATTTATGGTGGACAAATTACCATACCATAATGTGATCATTCACCTGCTATTTCATATTTAGGATAACAACAAACTTTTCTTACACTTCTGGCATGAACATAAAGCTTTTTTGCTATTTTTATTTATATATTATCTATATTTAATTATCATAAGACTCCTATAAAAGTGAAATTATTGGGTCAAATATGATTTATAAATTTTGCTTTTATATACAAATGGAGAGAGACAAAGAAAGAGAGAAACCTATAGTCTAAAAGTTTATGTTCCTACCTCAAAATTCATTTCTCAGAGACACACATTTTTATACACTATATTTGTATGAATATCTTCATAACAGAATAAGAAGAAAAGTGAACTAAAGTGACACTTTTCCTATTTTTCCTTTTTCAATGGTCATATATGTTTTCTTTTCTTTTTTTTTCCTTGAGCAGTGCTGGGCTCTGGACCCAGGATTTACCCATGCTAAACACATACCCTACAAATGAGCCACACATACGAGTATCTGTAATGTTCCTAGGTAACAACACAGACATTTAAAATACTCATTTTAGTGAGTCCCTCAATTGCTAAAGCACTAACTATCGAATGTATCATAAAACCTTTTTTCAACTATTGATCTTTAAAGATACTGAACACACCAAAACACATCACAATTATTATGACACACTTCCCAACTGAACAGAGCTAAGAAATACATCACAAAAAACTGTTACACTCTAATCCCTCCCACAAGTGCCCAAGGAAGTTACTCAGAAAGACAGGGCAGGAACAAGTGGCATGCTTACCTCTGTACCAACTGATCTGCCTGATAGTATCTCCCATCAATAAGGATCTGCACATCGATTACGTGCTGCCGTAAAAGGTTTTCACATTCAAGTATATACCCAGCAATTTCTGCTTCATTCTGAAACTGCACCCCTGATTCTAACCTCTTAGAATCCTGTGGTTAAAAGAACTCAGTATTAATCATGTGAAATAAGCACGGAAACCACCTTGAATTTGCAACACCGAGAATGAGAACAGCAGCCTCGCTGGCTGTTTTCCCTCTGCTCACTGTCCCTCAGGAGAACGTGTACCAGTTACCAGCTTAGCAAACTTTAAGTCTCACAAGCCAGAATCAACCAAACACTACGTGAACGTTTAAGTTCATCCAAACACACGCGGACCCCCGACAGCAACCTAACCGCTCCTTAAATGAACTTACAGACTGGAGAGCATTTCGAGCAAGGATCAGTTTGTCTTCACAGATGATGCTGTCCCTTTGAACCCGGCTGGCGATCTGCTGAAGCATCTCCAGCCTAAAAGAAGGGACAAAAGAGAATAAAACCAAAGGCTCACCACCCCCGAGGAATGCTGCCCGCCAAAAAGGCAAGCAGCCCCACCCGCCGATGGATACCTGTGTCTGTCAACCGACTCATTGCCGAAGCTAATGCAGGAGTTGATGAGCGTTGGACCACAGTGAACTGAGAGGAGATTTTCATTTGAATCAAGACTCGTCCGAGTGCTGGTAGTGTTACTAAACACAGAATCGCTGCTACGGTAACTGTAACTACTGCTGTGCATTTTTAGCCCCGAAATGATGTTCTGTGACCATTAAAAGCGGAGTGAAAGGAGAAGTTCTGGAGAAAGCTCTGCTTCTAACGCGCAAAGATGCGGCTGAATGCTACAGCTCTAACACCTGCTTAAATACTCTCCAACATGCACAGCCACACACAGCAAATACCGTGCTGATAGCTACTCAAAAGAATCTCGCCTGAAGCAGTTCCCTTCTCCTGGCTTGCCTTTTGTAGAGGGCACTAAAACCCTGCAAGTACAGACAGCAGCTCATCGGGCGTCACTGCAAAAGACATGCCAAATATTTCCACAAAGAGTCATCTGACTGCAACCACCTAAAAAACAACTCAGGGCTTCACAGAAGCCCGGGAACCACTCGTGAAGACTGTCCTGTCCACACCAATCCTCAGCGAAGAGCACGAATACGCACTCACGTCTGACTTCTGCTCAGGCCCGGTCGGTACTGAACAGCCTGAGGCAAAAGCTGGAGACTGTCAAGTACCCATAAGCAAATGCATCAGATGAGAAGCAAAGTCCTTTTCCACTCCACCCACCGTGTCAATTGTACAGATTAATTAACTGGAAAGTTACCTTTACCTTTGTTGATACTGCGTGCTGTCAGTAATGTTATTTTTTAAATGTGATGTCTGCAAATCTAATCTCTGCGTGCTTTTCCTTTCTGTAGGTTATTACACAGCTAAGAACACTGGATCCGTCCTATATGTCTTTTGCACACTCCAGGCCATGTAGGTGTTATCTGCAATACTGTCATTTACCCCCCAAACTCCTAATATCCTCCTACCTCCAACATCACTCACAAAGCCAAACTTCTAAGAGTAGACTTACCTTCCTTTGTTATGTACCAGAACTAATCATTTTATACCTGCTGCCTCATCTCTCACCCACAACCACCCCATCCTGTTTACAAATGAGGAAAGCGAAGTTTAGAGTTAAGGAACCTGGCTGGCTAAGCTCACATAACTTCCAAGGTAATGTAATAAGTCTGATCCAGGATTGACTGGGCCCTGAACTCCTAGCTGTTTTGCTTCATTAAAATGCTTTGCTGGTCTAGCTGGTATATCATGCTTATTAATCCCAGCAACTTGGGAGGTGGAGACCCCAAGGATCACGGTTCAAAGCCGGGCAGGGCAAAAATGTTAGCAAGACCCCATCTCAACAAACAAGCTGGATGTTGTGTTACATGCCTTGGGTCCCAGCTACACAGGAGGCATAGGTATGAGGATCATATAGTGAGCTGAATCCAGGCAAAAGTGTGAGTGAGACCCCATATGAAAAATTACTAAAGTGAAAAAGGGCTGAGGGTGTGGTTCATGTGGCAGAATGCCTGCTTAGCAAGCTGAAGACCCTGAGTTCACAACCCAGTGCCACCTCCCCTCACCGCCGTGGTGAGGTCTGGATGTACCCTCAATGCAGCAGTGTCAAGAGGTGGCATGTGTAGGAGGCGATTGGCCCTCGTGAACAGGTCAACACCATTATCACAGGAGTGCTTAGTTATTGCAGCAGCGGGCTCCTGATCAAAGTGAGTTTGGAGCCATCTTGCACGCATCAGTACTTGCTCTCTCTTGCACATGCATGCATGATTGTGTGTGTTAACCCTCTCACTCTAGCGCTCCCGCTCGCTCTCTCTCTTTCTCTCTCTCACCTTTCTGTGTTCCACCATGGGATTACGTAGCACAAAGGCTGACACCAGAAGCCAGCGCCACACTGGACTTCTCAACCTCCACGAGTTTTCTTTATAAGTTACCCAGCCTGTGGTGTTCTTGGAGCAACACTAAGTGGATTACAACACATGATAAAATCCAGGTACTTCGGCAATGACTAAAATCCACTCCATCATTTCTCTGGAGTACTTCTCTGTCAATTCAGATGATCACTCAGAATTACCTCCTCATAAAAGCTGCATACGATGTATTTCAAGCTGGTTTTGATCCTAATTATCTGGATATTTTGATCAATATTATGCTGTAACAAAAGTGTAGTCAGTGATTTAATAAAGGACTGTGCTGACAAGCTGGACTCGCCCTCTTATTGTCCACGCGTTATTTCACGTTCTCACAATGTCGAGGTCCATGTGTGAGACACTAACAATCCCACTACACTGAGCACGTCTACTGTGTGACAGACAGTGCTGAGCACTGTCAATGAAAGGGACAGCAAAACCGGGCCTGCTCCACACTCTTGGAAGGTTAGATCTGAGGAATAGGTAGCCCTTAATCAAACAGAAATCACTATGAAATTAAACTGAGGTAAGTGCCATGAAGATAAGCACACCCAAGAGAAGTGAGACAGGCTAGGAAACCTGGGAAGGTTCTTGAGGAAGGAACATGGGGTCTGAGGACCGAGAGGGACTAGACGTAGAGAGGTGGGAGGATGAAGTGGACTCGCTGCCGAAGGAGCAGACTGTGAACCTGTGTGTGGAGGAGAGCAGATTGCTAGCATAAGAGCTCTGACAGCCATCCAGCGGGCCTGCCATGCAGACAGTAAGGAGGTCAGAGAGGCACCTGACCACAGAAGCCATAGGAACACAGAGCACAATTGCCACATACCACAGTCAGAGTGCGGGCGAAGGACGATAACAGAAACAAATTCATCCAATAGGGCTGTAGTTCAGTCCTAGAGCACTTACCTAGGAGGCACCAGGCCCTGGGATTAATCCCCAGGGCACACACAAATCACCTACAAACGCTTTCTAAAGGCTAAGCTATGCCTCCCTGGGCACCTGGGTGCAGTGAGAGCACAGAACAAGGAAGAGCTGGTGGCAATTTCACGAACAAATGCACTTTTACAAGTGTGACAGGAAGGGAACCTGGGGTGCATTTCTATGTTTTCTAGATGTGATACCATTGTCTTTACACGAAGGCAGGGTAAGCATTGGTTTTTTACTGCCCATGGGAGGAGAGCACAGTCAAAGACATAACAAGGAACAAACTATGTAGTAATCAACCTATGAGTTCTCAGTCTAGGCCCTAGTGGCCTCAGGCTAGTCTGAGAAACATTCCTGGGCAATTTTAATTGGTTTAGAACTATGACATTTTATTAGATGAGACTTTACACCCTAGCCTACCAGATTCTTTACGTAATGACTTCACTGACTTACTCCTTAAAACTTCTCAGAAGAGTTTCTAGATTTAAAAAAAGAGGATCAGAAAGACTTAGTGGCTTACACTAGGTCACACAACCAAGGAAGTAAAAATGGTACGTGCTGGTTGGTCCTCACCTGATTGGCTCTCAAACGTATGTTCTTTCCACAGACGAAAGCTGCCTCCCTCCAGATACCCATGGCAGCCAACATCTCTTTCCTACCTTTCTACTTCTGGACGAAGAGCCTTCTCTCTCTCGAGCATGGCAATAATGAGCTTTCCCCACTCTCTCTCTATGTCATTTGGATGATAACCTTGAAGCAGTTTGATGCGTCCAAATTCTATCCAAATCTTGAGGAAAGCAAAAAAAAGAAAGATCAAGATGAAGCAAAAAAAACAGAACAACAAAAAAAGAACCCCAAAGATTATGCTTGACAGTACAAAGGAAATTTCAGCTTACCTCTAACAATTTATATAGTCGCTTAATTTTTGATTTTTCTGTCTCCTTTGGTGGGATTTCTGTTTCTTTAAATTGTAGGTACTGATTATAAAGTGCCTGAAAGGAAAAGAGAAATAAATCAAGGGTCAAACTCCAAAGGAGAGTGCTTGCATTATGTCACCACTGCAGACACTATTTACTGTGCCACACCCATTCAGTGGAAAAGTAACACTCAAGGCCAATGCCAATCCCAGCCAGGTGTCACTATTGATGTGAGCTGTGATTCGATACATGCCACATAGGAATCTGGATGATAATAACCATGGGAGGAGGATTTAAAATGACTCTACCGAAATGCTCCTATCATGCAAGAGACATAGTACATCCTTCAATGTGGCTTTCCAAATGCTGCATCCTTGCTCTCAGTTTTTGGAAAATAATCTGAGGCAATTCCCAAAAAGGAGGAAAAAACTGTTCTATTTTTTGCAGTTGCATCACTGAAAACAGAATTTTTAGCAGCTAAAAAGCTAAACTTTAGTTCCACAGTCCCACTGGCCAATTTAAACACATTTTTTAATAAATAAAGGTAGATGCTATTATAACTGTAGAAGTTTCAACCATATAATTATGATCTCATTTGTAGATAATCATTTGGGAACCTCTTAAATAAGATTTATTGTGTTTATTAAAAATTTACTGTATCAATTAAAATTATATAGGCAAAATGTCTCCATGTTTAATAAATGCATACTAATTATTTCACTATAATTCATGCTGCATTAAAACAAGACCCTATAAATCTTCAGGCAGACACAGTTCTGTAGGATTCCGCCCAATGGGGTGCTGGCTAATACAATGATTTGCACTCCTCATGATATATTTTCTTTCCTAGATTAGGCCCTATCTTAGGTACCCGGCAAGTCATCTGTGTGGTCCTGCAAATCTCCTCTACAACTTTAAGAATCTGTACTAATCAGAGCCCAAAATCTGTTTCCTCAAGGGTGTAGACAGTAGGAATCCATTTGGAAATAAGTGTGTTTGAACACAGAATGTAAAGACCGTATGAACTTAAAAAGGAAATCTTTCCAGATGTTCGCTCATCATTAGTGCTGGATGTCACCATGTGCTAAACACTGAAACACGGCAGAGGGAAAGCTTCCTGACTCAGAAGGGCTACGTCCTCGTAGGGAGACATCACACAAACACCACTGGGACTCTTCAAAAAGTACAGTGGCCGACCGGCAGATGCCAAGTAATTTCATGCCAAGGACCAGCCGCCTGTGGCGATGTGAGTAAGAGCTGTGCCACAGATGTGCTGTACAGATGCATGAGCACGAACGGTGACTTTCACAGGGCCCGCCCTGCGCCATTACGGTTTCTGGGATTACAGCCTGATCACGAAAATAAAGCTTACAAATCACGGAACTGAAGCTTTGTAAAGAATTACCAGTTTGTAAAAATAAAACAGACTGCTTTGCTATTTCAAACCCAAATGTACAAAATGAAACAACTGAGGCTATGGCACGTGTGGGTATCTGTAACATCTTGTATATTGCTCTAACATCTTTGCCTTGAAAAGCCTGACCTGAGGTTTAAGTACTGGCAAGTGTCTGGCTCAATTATTCAGCTACCTCCACTTGCCTATCATGAGTACAATGCTGAATTCACTTGTACGAGAAGTCAGGTATGTATTTTCAGACTCAGGGTAGCGTCCAGGACGTCCCCGGTGCTCCACCAAAGAAGCGTCTGAGGCCGTCCCTGACAAGATTCAAGATTCAAGCAGAGACACGCTCCAACCACGGTCACGCATGTGAGCGCCCCCGCCGCTGGTGGGCTCCGAGCATTCCCACACACGAGACGACCTGGCAATGTTCCTTCCAGACACGTTCTCAAATTACACCTTCAAACTCTCACCATCAAAGCCCGGGTGCTTAAACATCTTCAAGGTGTTGCTGCTATTATGTTTTAATTATTAACATTCACCTCAATTTCCTCTGTATAAGAAGGAAATGAGTAAATAAAAGTCTGCCTACTTTTCAGTGGCTTGCCAGTGGCAACTTTTCTTTGAACTAACTTCTAAAATTATGGAATTATTACAGCCTTAGTTGAAAGTTTATAACCAAATCAATCCTACTTAGTGTCTGTATGATACCAACCTTTAGCTCCACAGGGTTATTAGGAAATGTCCGCTCAGACATTGTGGCCACATGGTGTCGAATCCATTGGATGAGGTAGTTTACCATATTCTGGTATTCGATCCATTTGACTTCAACATCCTAAAACAATAAAAGGACAGGGAAACATTTGTGTCTGTAGGCAGCAGCATTCATATCTAACACAATTTAGAAGTCATCCTATGAATTTATGTCTTAAAGTCTGACAGACAAAACCAACTAACTGTTCTTGCTTTCCCGTCTGCCACCACCCTTTCCATCTAAACAGCTTTAAAAACATGCTGTCAACATTTGGCCACGAACACTAGCCCAACAAATAACGATCCCAATTCAAAGACAGTGGCTGCCTGGGGCACTGCAATGAGGAACCTTCTGAAGCTGTGCCCAAGAACAACAGGAGAAAAAAATGGTGTGTGTGATCAACGTGAGTTGATTTCCAAGGCTCAAGAACGGGAAGCAACAGCTTGAGTGAGTAAGAAAGCGTAGCCAACACTGTCAACCATTTTAGATCTAGATCCACTGCATATCTGCACTCAAAAGTGTTCCATATATGAAGAAAACCAGATAGGAAAGAACTGGATATGGTGGGGTTATTCAAGTATTTACTCAGCAAACTTTTAAAAAAGGGAAGAGACTGGAAGGTTGTCAGCTGCTATGTTCGATTAAGTATTTGAGAGATGTTTATTATGTTTAAAAGGACCGCGCTAGGTGTGGTGATAAAGTAAAAGTTTAAGACATGGTATCTATTGCTAAGAAGTTGCTGTCTAAAGGGGGAGACAAGAAAGATTCATAGCACAGAAGGTAAGGAAAACGAAATCAGTACTTATTTAAGTGTTTGAACAACTCAAATAGGCAGTGTATACTAGAAACTGAGATAAGAATCAGGTATGCATTAATGTGTTTTAAAATGGTCTCTGAGCAGCTCTGCAAAGGACAGTTAGTAACTGTTTGGTTTCAGGGGTGAGAATGGAAAAGGGACAGGAGGGTCCCACATCAGTGAGTGATGCCTTGGCTACCAGTAAATGTTTCATACTGCAAAATCGTAAAAAAAATGCAGGTAAGCAGAATTAATATATGCAGAGTTTTGGACATCTAAATTGGATTTAACCTTTCAAAGTAACACTGTAAGTTTACAAACTAAGGACTCGGGTTACAGGAAGATTAATTTGGCAACAGTGTGCAGAGCTGATGGGAAAAGGGACAGTAATGGAGATGGAAAACCATACACCATCAGCCATCATCCAAGCTCTAGTGTGAAGGAAGCAGAGGCAGAAGGGTGGAGGTTCATGGGGAAATAAAGAAAGCAAGGAACAGGCACAAGAATCGTTCTGAAGCAACGCACAGCACTGAATCGTGAGAACAAGTTACTTGGGGATCCAAAATGATAAGACTGTAGAGCAGAAGAACAAGAGGGAGAGAACAGAAATAGATCTACACACAATAGTACACAGAGGTAATGTGAGAAACCAGAAAGGGGGCTCCAATTTTCAAAACAGTGGAGAAAAAAAGGCACCCGGGAGAAAGCAGCCCAGGAGGAGGAGAGACCATTCCCCAAGTGTGTGACACAAAGCTTCCTGCTCTCTTCCAGAAATGCATTTGCGCTTGCTGAGCACAACCCATGGCAAAACGCATGTCTGAATTACATGACACAAACTTTTGAGAAACAGTGATTTAATAAAGACATAACACTCAAAGCTTTGCATTAGAAGGCCAAGTGCCAAATCCAACAACTTTCCTCTGGGCCCCTACTTTAAATCAAAAAAATAATACCTAGTCAACTTATTTCATGAGTTTATAAACAGATGAGTTAATAAACTTGCTTTTGAAATTGCTTTCAAAAGTGAGATAGCCTATCAACTGAGGATAGGATATAGGGCAATTCTACCTTTCTATCTACCTACCTACCTACCTGTCATCTATCAAACCAGGAAGCTAAAAATTAAAATCTTCAAATTTAAGTGGTTTATGGTTTTTATTTATAAAATGACCTATAAACTGTGAACAGTTTCCTTGATTTGTGACACCAAAAAATGGGGTTTTTGAAGTTATTTAATTTCATTGGTGGAATGAAGTCATGGAATAGATATAATACCTATTTATGAGATGGCATATCAAATCAAATTCTTTCAAATGTATTTGACATTCAAAAAACTGTAAAAAGTACTAAATATCAAAGAATCCAGTCAACAGGTCACCACTGGACCAGCAGCTTCTAGTGCAGGAAACCCAATACTCACATTTGCACCAATGCCTTCGCCACCTTCGGGGACTTTAGGGAACGCATCATAGAGAGAAGACACGTAAGTTATTACTGACTTTTCATCAGGAGAAGAGACATCAACATCTAAAAACAGCAACATAAATTAATTATTTCACAATGTTGAGGGGGTACTTTGGATCAGACTTTCAGGCCAGTCCACACAGAGTCAAGAAAACAACTTACCTTCAGGGTCCAGAAGTCTTATAACACCAATTTTTTCAGCTACATAAAAAGCATGCTCTAAATTTGCAAGGTTGCTTTGAACAGCAACAGTATTCATGTCTATCAGGTCCGGCCTAGAAAAAAAAAGTTCACTGTGTTAATTAAACTTTTTAAATTAAGGTTGAATGCCAGTTCAACCTTACAATTACAGGTATTACCTATTTGCACAGCAAATTCTGCAAATACTAATATTAAGCCTGTGTTAAAATACAGAGATTTTCTTCAAATGTTTAACATTGTTTACTTCTCTCAGAAACGTGTGCCAAAAAGCAAGCACATCAAGGAAATATAAAAATTTGAACATATGGAACTTTCAACAAAGTCTACAAATGCTTCACAATGATGAAAATCTGTCCCACTCAAATGATTTAAGTTCCATACTCCACAGCTTCCTACCAATCCAACCTGCTTTCTCTCAGTATTTCTCCCCAAACACAGAAGGCTTATAGTGTGTTCAGTGTCACACCCACACCACTCCCCTCTTAGGATGTCCTTTTACAATCCTACTCATCTTTCCAAGCAGAGATCAAGTCCACCTCCTCTCTGGGGCTCAGGCTGACCTTCCTGACCCTCATTTCTCTCCATGTCCTCAACTTCTTTGACCTGACACTTAGGACAATTTTAAGCTCCTTAACACACCTTGTTTCTCTCAACTGGTATCTCAAGGCAGAAGAACATGCATTGATAAGCTTTTATATTTTAGCTTTCTACTGAAATACACATACATAATAGACTCAATAATTACCTACTGATGTGTGGTAAGTAATTAAAGTTAGAAATTTGAATCGTAAATGAATATGCTAGTTTATATTCCACAAACATGCATATGTGTTTGTACACCCATATACATGCTTGACATCTCTCTCCCTCCCTCTCTTCTTCCTTTCCTCCCCTCCATAGACACATACACACACACAGACACACACCACACTTTATTTCTTTCTAATCTGAGAGACGTATGTAATGCTCTAAACCAGGAGGTACTTAGAAGCTAACTGTATCTATACAAGACATGAAAAGACACCTCAAATATTTCTTGTATAGAAAGTGACAAAACATGGTAGTGGGAAACTTCACTCAGGGTCAGAAGCAACTCTGATCTCAAGAACAAAGCATTAAAAATACCGAAACAAGTGCGGAAACAATAAAGCCTTCAAAAGAGAAGGGTCCATCTTTAAAATCACTGAATGTGAACTTGTTTACCCACTCATGAAAGAAGGCTCCCTACAGCTCCCACAAGCTCTCTGGTTTGCTGAAAGTAATCATTTGGAGAACCACAGAAACAGTGGGAGGGCTTAGGGGTAGTCTGGGAGGAATAAACAGTTCATTACCTTGAGTGCTATTCAGAAGTTCATTTACATGAGTATCTTTGAAAACACACCATTAATATTGAAGAAAGGTAAACAAAAATAGAACTCTTGTTCTTATTTGGTGAGAGAGGCAACCTTAAAAAAAAAAAATCTCCTTATACTTTTATAGCACTTTGAAGTGTTCATGGCCTGGAAAGGTCCCTACTATTTCCTATATAGCTCATATTCCTGGAAATGATTGTGAAATTCTCTCAAGATTTTCACATGACACTAACATGATCACTCAAAAGTGATCCTCTATTCATCCACTGACAACAGACATAAATGAAAGGTCTCTAAAAATAACAAAGAATCGTGTTGAAGAATCTGCCATCATCCAGATTACTACACAGGTGTGTGTTAACGGTCTAGACAAAGATAAACACCTAAAGTTCTTCCATTAAAAATTGTGTTATCTCCATAAAATTCATATTCTGGAGAAACAAAAACCAGCCTTTCTGAGTCTGCCAACCTCAGAACAAGAAACAGCACGTTACATAAGAACCCTGCCATTAGCAAGGAGAGTAAACAGTGAGTAATCCCAAAGAGAATGAATAAAGTCATTGAAGAATCAAGTTTTCTGACTAAGAGAATAAAACACAAAACTTCCTTCACAATGACATAGTCATTTTAGCACAGAAGCAGCTGCATAGGGCACAATGAGTCTGAGTAAGTCACCTCTTTCACCCCAGTTTTTAACACTTCTTTTACTGGCGTACAAGGGGCTTCATTGTGGAATTTCCATGCATACTTACAGTGCACTTTGATCTCATATTCACCCCTCTATTGCTCTTTCTTCTCCCAACCCCTTTTAATTTTTACAATTTTTAATGGATTTCATTTTTCTATGTTCAAGCATCCACACCTGAATGGAACAAAAACTGAGGTGGTTTTCTTCCATGACAGACTGTAGAAGATAAAATTAGTTAAACAAAAGTGGAAAAAAAAAGGAAAGCTTCAAAAAACACTGTGAAAAGGAACTGCTTGAAAGTCTTCAAAATTATGTTGCTCCTTCAGGTCATTGTCCAGCACTCTGGTCACTTCCAATCTCCCTATGTGCTCTTCCTCCATGAGTCAGGAGCACCCAGAGACCTGTGCTGTGTCCTATCTACCTCCTTCTCTCTTCCCAGTCCCACTGGGACAGCACAACCTTTAAAACTTCAATTATTTTTCATATGTTGAAGATACTAATTTTCATTCGAAAGGTTTCATTCCACTATAATGTCACCCTTTCATAAAACTTAAGCAGGAAATTTCATTTATCCTAGATTAGACTAACCAAAGAGCATCAGACTATACAGTAAGCAGGTATTCCTATACTGTATTTTGGATAGATAAGCACAAACTGCTCTCCTTTCCCTGTTTTACAAAAACCTATCCAAATCATACAATGTAATCATCGGCCACCAAACAAAACACGGATTGCCTTTATATGAAAAAGGCATGTAATTCTCACTTGCTTTATTATTCTACAATAATGTACTATTTGGATTGTGATTTTTAAGACAATTTCCACATATTTGAGAGAAAAGGCTATATTGAAGTGGAACAACAACAAAAAATCCCAGAGCTGTGATCCCGGGGTCCTGGGATTCAGTCCTGGACTTGCTCTGACTTTGGACACACACCCTGCAACCTGTATCTCAATTCCTTCTATGAAAAAAATTGAGTCAGGAATTACAGAATTTAGAACAAAATCACCTCTGGGAGGGAGGGCATTGTGGGTGCTGGCATAAGGTTTGAACAACCCAAATGCTTTGCCCAAGGTCTTGAGATGACTGAAGGGAAAGCAGGAGTGAGAGTAAGCACACAGAGCAGTGTGTGCAGAATATCATCACATGTCTACTGCCACAAAAGCAATACACTGAGTATGCAATCAGAGAAGGCGTAAGGACATTTTGGTGTGCTATGCCACTTAAACAAAATTCTATCCAGTCGACAAACTAACAAGTTCATTCATTTCATTCACTCAATATTTAGCAAGTAACTCCCATGTGCCAGGCAATGATACGCTCAGAATGTCACTGTGTACATGGAAAGCCAGAGCTCCAAAGGGGGTTGGCAGAACACCAGGAGGAAATCGGGGGGAAGAGCACCAGGTAGGAGGAAATGAATGCATAAGCTCCATGGCTGGTAGAAACATGGCTACAGCAAACCAGCCTGGGCAAGGACCCAGCAGCAAGAGAACCATGGTGAGAGATGAGAATGGTGGCAAGGGGCAGGCTGAGGTTGGTTCTCATGAATGTCTTAAAGGATTCCAAGCTTTCTTCTAAGAACTATGGAAAGCCATTAAAGTACACTAAGGAGGATTATAAGAGATTAAACGTCCAGATCTGGGGTCAGAAGGGGCAGAAATTCAAAGTAGTACAATTATTTCCACAGAACCCAGGTAGCAGAGGCCCTGGTACTTGCAGAAGAATGGAGCAATAAGGGGACGAAGTAGAGAGGTCGGGAGATATCTAGAAGGTCAAATCCTCTGAATTTCATCCTGTTATAATGGCTACAGTAATTAAGGCTGAGAGGGAAAGAGAAGGTCAGGGAGGCAACCTAGCACACTCCAACAGAACAGCCACGGGGTAAAGGGTATTTCAGGAAGAAACAAATGCTCACCACAGTCAAATACTGAGAGTAAGACGAGGCCTGCAAAACACCTACAGATCTACAGGTCACTCGTGACCCTGCAGGACTATGGAGGACTATGGAGACCATGGAGCCAGAACCAGATTAGAACAGGATGAGGAACATCAAGAGAAGAAATGAAGACACAGGTGACAGCTCCTCTGAGGAGTTTGGTTCAGGAGGAAAAGAAGTAGCTAGAAAAATCACGGGGTTAAGCTGGAGAAGAAGTCTCCACATGCTTAAAATCCCCCAAGAAAGAGCTGCTGAAGAGGAGGGCTGAACACGCGTGAGAGCAGAGGCTGCCAAGGCAAAGGCTGAGAGCAGACACCCAGCACAGCACAGGTGACGGCCTCTGGACAGGTGGCGAGGACTGCCATGTATAACACGAGCAAAGGTGATAAGGATGGAGGAAAGGAAGATGCTTTATGTGTCTGGCAGCAAGGAGAAAGGCTTTCCCCTTTCTGAATTCAGTTTTCCCCAAGGGCCAGAGCCAAGACCTCCAGTTAACAGTAAAGAAAGGTGAGGTGACTGGAGAAGAGGTAAATAATGCAGATTGGAAAAGGCAGCGGCTGCTGAAGTTGCAGAGGAACCAATCCACCCTGGAGTGTGACTTTCTCCAGTGTGCATCACTGCCTGGGGACATGCACAGACAAGGCAAATGACGGGCTCACACAAGCTCAGGCTCCACTGGGAACTTGTGCCTACTCAGCAGTTTGCAGGGAACTGAAAAAGGATTCAGTAGCAGTTTAAAGCAAAGCAAAGAAAACCCCAACCCAAATGACCTACAGATCAGTCTTACAACCACCCCAATACTCCAGAACACAGTCCCCACACAGACGCGTGACCACATACGATGCACGCCACCAGGTGCTCACAGGTCCCATAGGAGGGAGGGGAACTCAGCATGCCTGCCTTCTCCTGTGACAACGCAGCAGTTGCCATAACAAATTCCTGATGAGGACTGTTGGGACTAAGTCGTGTTCAGACTTAGCACGGTCTTGCTGTTTTTATCCGTGCAATGGCATTTCAGCTTCTCCTTCCCCAACTTACTACCCCCACCCCGCCCCACCAAGACCTGCAAAATGGTCTCCTCCCCTGTCCCCCAG